GTTTTTCTATCACAAAGCATGCGCGTCCCGTTCGATGAACTCTCCTCCAGTCCAAGCTGTAACTTTGATAACTCGTAATTTGCATTTTCTAATGTACCGGTTAAATTTTACGAAGGGAAAACAACATGTGCAGTTGGAATAAATCGGAAAGGGGAAAGCGGAGACGGCGGTGGTCAGTGACTTGTCACAACCATGATGTGGTGGAAACTTCTGTCCAAGGATAACTGTAAAATTACTGACAATACGTAATTCTGATTTTTTTTCTCAAAAAACTGTACACGTTGAACATAAAGTTTTTTTTACATAACTTTGAAACACTTTGTGCCTTGCTTTACTCTTATATGTTTCTATCTTTTATATTTACCTGGGAATAGTCACTTGGGATATTGTTATTGCAAAAAAATTATTATAAAATATTGTTTTGTACGCGGATATTGTTTAGAATATTTTTTTCTTTTTTAAGATATTTTTTAATTTTTTTCCATATTTTTGCTTTTTTAGCTATTCTTTGCAAACTTTTAAATGTACAATTCCATCAAAAACCCTCAATAAAAAAGCGTTATATTAATAAAAATCTTTATTTTTTTTTAAATACTGTCATAATAAACTATATACTATGCTTATTCTTTAATATTACTTTTGTCACAAAATCGTAATTAAATTTCCATATTCATAATGTTCCCAAATACTAATAAATCAGAAAACAATCAATAATATACTGTATGTTGTTAATCATAATGATTTTAATTAGGGTATAAAAATACCTCAGATAATCGTTTACGTATAAAAAATCAGGTGATTTCATATATATTTTTAAAAATATTAATTACTTCATGCGATGTTCAATCTTCTTACTATCAATTACTTCTACGTAAAATAAATTTTACTTACTACGCTAAGTAATTATCACGATGATTAAAATAGAAACATTTGCGTGTTATATTATATTTTGTAGAACCTTCTGATGTAACAGAAAAAAGCGTAGTAGAGTACAAAGCAAGGGGATACTTTATAATGCATCGAGAAAAAAACTTCAAAACGGAGGGAATACGATTTCAAAGTAAAACTGATTCTATTGTAAAATCGTAGTTTGTAGTTTGAATGCGTTTCTTTCTGCGAAAAGAGAAAATTGTGGCCAAGTGTTTGCATCATAATATTGACCAATAATAATAGCATTAAATACTTTAAATACTTTTTTGTAATAAATTAATATAATATCAATATAATTGTAAAGGTTGTATTAAATGATGAGCACAATACTATTATGATTGACTCAGAAATAATGCTAATGTTACTTTAATTGTTAGTAAATTAATAACGCAATTAACCTATTGCGCGTTGTTTCATTCGTAAATGTGATCTTAATGAATATCACTAAATGATAAATATGAGCAATAAAAAGGATTAAATATAATATTTTATATTTATAATTTAATATAGGTAAAAAAGTTAATATATTTTGAGCAAGATAAGAAATTAATATTACAGTGAATGGCACTTATAATAATCATTTGGAAAATACAATCGTTTTATTTCGTAAGCATTCGTATAAAATTCAGATACGCCATTGATGTCTTGCATACCTATGAATATTTGCGAATGTTAATCGGACAATATATTTAATTGTCAAATTAATAAACAATGGAGGAAATTATACTTACTTCGCAAAAACTTTGAAGAGAGATATCGAACATTTTAGCAGCTGTCAAAGTTGACGGACGGTTTGATCTAATCATCACCATAATTAAATTATTCACGTTTTTTGTTGGTACCATGTACCAATCAATGGAATATGATATTTCTCCAATTTTTCCACTCTTTTAAGAAAAGAAAATTACATTTAAGAAAAAAGTTAAATATAAATCTAGAGTTCAATGTTTATTCAAATAAATTAATTTAATTTAATTGTATACTTTGGTTTAAATTAATAGCTCAATTTAAATTAATTTAATTAATTAATTATTTTTTAATAATGGTTTTTAAATTTACCTCTTCTTTAAGTCGATCGCCGATAGTCGATAAAGTAAAAACATTTACAAAAATTGAAGTGACTAATATAAAATATATAATCACACCAAAAAATTTATTGTCTTCCCATTCCTGAAAGAAATTTGTGCAAAAAAATATAATTTGATTTTAAGAAATATATTATCTTTTCAATTATGCAAAAATATATTTAAATACCTTGAGAACTCCATATTCAAGAAAGCATATAATAATAGTGCATAGAATCATCTCTGATAGAAAAACGATATTTAATGAATTTTCGATCATTTCAACATACCTGTAATAGGTATTATTATGAAACAAAAAATTGTTATGAAATAAATGTAATTATTATAAATTGGAATAATCGCAAATAATTACACTGCAATTTAATAAGAATTATTTATGCTATAGAATTTATGCTTCAGAACAATATTTAGCAAAAATAAAATCCAGATTTTTTTTACACCTATAAACGTATATTATTATATTATTGACGATACATCTGTTGAAAAATTGACAATTCTTTTTCCGACCTGAGAGCTCGCATGTGATTTGTAATGATCCAATCGAATCGTTCATGAAGATCATCAATTCCTCCAAGCAATAATGTTTCCATATGTCTTCGAGCGATCTCGAACAAGCAGCAAGCATGCATCACACAACTGGCAATTAAACTGTAAACACCACAGTTTGTTGAGAGGATCATAGTGCTAAACACGATTTGAACGACGAAAAGAATCTCGTAGAATGGTGAGTCTTCCACCACAAAGAAGATGTAATCGCTGAGATAAGGCAGAGGTAAATGAGTCGTGTTGTCTTCCTTGACGACTTTGTCCGCCACCAATGGCATAATTATATGATAAGGTAATGCGCCACCATACAATAATACCAAATACATCATCGTGAACTGTCTGCCGACCTTGGCGTTTTTTACCATCACCAGTCGATCCTCTTCGCTCTCCACATCTCTGTACTGAATCTCCATTTCTTTCAGGCAGCACTTGATGTCGTTTTTGTTGATGATCATTGTCCAGAATTTGATGATACCCAGCAGGCTGAACACCTGAGCGGCTATGACTTTCATGTATCTTGTCAGATCTTCTGCATCGAAGAAGGTATATATGATGTGCGGGACAAGTAGAAAACACATTAAGCAAAACACGATGCTTGTCTGAAGATAGTATTTAATTTTATACATTGTAGAATCGTCCCCGTAAAGTGGCCAAATGCCAACAGGCGTCAACAGGATTTTGGCGACTCTTAACACGTACTCCGCATCGGACCTGTAATTGAAGTTTTGAAATAGCGCGCGATTGTCGACCGGCGACATGCTCGCGATCATTGTCCTACAATTATTCGTTTTACAAAGTTTGATTCTCGACTGACAACAACAAAGTGGTGGAATAGGGATCGTTGATCGGACAGCACACAAGTTAACGTAGGCGCTTGCGTGCAAAAAGTTCACCTCTCCCAAGAAACTGTCAGGGCTATTCTTCTAAGAACTGTCGCAACTTTCATTGGAAAAAAATGTACATTATTTCAATGATGATTCTACGCAGGCGTTGTCAAGAGGTAGTCGCGAAGACAGAGATTTGCTTTGTTGAGCTGTTGAAAGCAAAAGCGTACAGTGTTCAGAATGATGAATACACTTCTGTGTTTTACAAAGTGATATCTAATTCGAAAT